GAAAGAAAAAGAACACAGTATTGGAATGGTTTTCTTCATAGCCCAGATCCCTCAGGTAGGGTGGCCTCTTCTCCTTCCTGCTTATACTCCAGCCATACTAAATAACCTTCATTCCTTTAATTAGTGGGGAGGAAAGAATCCTAAGTGATATCAGTAAAACCCAAATTGTTATTATTAATTTTTAAAAGCTGTAAATAAAACACCAGTGCAATCTTGAGCTTCCAGGAAAGTGAGATGGGTGCTGAGGGTTCACAGTGAAGGTTCATGTTACCCAGTGGCAACTCCTGGCTTGAACATCAGTTGCTGTGATTCAGTAAAGACTCCTAGGGTGTTATTTGTGGTCACTGACACCCCTTCTTTGTACCTTTTATACTTGTATGAAAGTAGTAACAGCTATGATTTCTTGAAAGTATTATTTCTGTGAAATGACCTTTTTCCTCCGTAATTGATGAACATGATAGAACTATTTTTCCATTCCCCATCTTAAGATCTTCCTCTGCTTCCCCTCTGCCTAAGCTGAGTTCATTAACACTGCATTCTGCCTTCACTCTGACCACTCCCCACCCCCACGGTCTCCAGCCATATGCAATGACATCCTGTTCATGCCACCGTCCCGTCTTCCTTTATACCTGCGTGCCAATCCTGCTTCATAGACAATCCTCATGCAGGACCCTTGTCTGACAAACTACTATTGGTCCTTCAGCTGCCAGCTTCAACCAGTGTTGCCTCCCCCAGGAGTCCCTCCCTGATCTCCCCAAGCTGGGTCCAGTGTTTTTCCTTTGCTCCCACAGGACCTGGAACTCAGTGTCACTTGTGGTTGGCTGTGGGCTCATGGAAGGCTGGGCCACGGCTTAGTCATTGTTACTGCCCTGGTCCCCAATGCACTGCATGACGGATATCCACAGAGTGAGTGAATGGCATTTTTGAATTTGTCACTTTGAGGGTTGCTGACCTTATAAACCACGAGCATTTCACATTCCCATTTGGTTTCTCAAAGTGCAAGGATTGGACGCCATGTGAAATAACATTGAGTATTCAGAAAACCTCATCTCACTGCTTAGAAAAAAAACATTAGAGGAGCTCTGTGTTTACTTCTAGATCTTGGAAGTCCGGAAGGCATTGCGCTTGATCACCTTGGCCGCAACATCTTCTGGACAGACTCTAACCTGGATCGAATAGAAGTGGCGAAGCTGGATGGCACGCAGCGCCGGGTGCTCTTTGAGACCGACCTGGTGAATCCCAGAGGCATTGTAACGGATTCCGTGAGAGGGTATCTTTGAGTGAATATGTGTGTGCAACTCTTTGATTTGTATCTGCCCCTTTTAGAGATTCTCAGATGTGAGGCTCTAACGCCAGCATTGCGCTCCTGAAATTGAGTGCAGGATGAAAGAGTCTACAGTTGGTGACTTGTAGACATCCATGGTACAATGCAGGAACATGAACAGTGTGGACTTGATACCATGTCTCACTTTCAAATCTTTTGCTAAGAGACTTTATAAGTTGACATGCCCAGAAACTGGATATTTTCCATTTGGCTTCAATGTGGATCAACATTCAGGTTGTAGCAACTCCAGAAGAGCAGCAGGGCGGCCTAAATGGACCCCTGAGACTGCTTTCTGGGGCAGACTCAGCCTGAACACCCTGGAGACCCCTTCCTATGGGTTTCTTCGGCACATCCCTGCCTTCTCTTCCTTATTGCAAGCGCTACCTCTT